AGGAGGAGGAGGAAGATGAGGAGGAGGAGGAGCAGGAGGGGGAGACGGAGGAGGAGGGGGGATGACGATGATGATGAGGATGATGATGATGATGATGATGATGATGATGATGATGATGATGATGATGATGATGGCGATGATGATGCTGATGATGATCATGATCATGATCATGCTCACGATGATGATTATGATGCTGATGCTGATCCTGATGCGGATGCTGATTCTGATGCTGATGCTGATTATTATGATGATGCTGATGAGGATGATGCTGATGACGATGACGATGATGATGCTGATGATGATGCTGATGATGAGGATGATGATAGTGTTGCTGATTGTGATGACGACGATGATGATGATGCTGCTAATGATGATGATGATGATGATGATGATGATGATGATGAAGCGGATGATGCTGATGATGATGATCATGATGTTGATGATGGTTATGTTGATGGTGATGATGCTGATCATGCTGATGATGATGATGGTGGTGAAGGTGATGATGCTGATGATGCTGATGATGATGATGATGTTGATGATGATGATGATGATGATGATGATGATGATGATGATGATGCTGATGCTGATGCTGATGCTGATGATGTTGGTAATGGTGATGCTGATGGTGATGATGATACGGATGGCAATGATGATGATACTGATAGCTGATAGCTGATGCTGATGCTGATGCTGATGCTGATGATGAGGAGGAGGAGGAGGAGGAGGAGGAGGAGGAGGAGGAGGAGGAGGAGGAGGAGGAGGAGGGAGGAGGAGGAGGAGGAGGAGGAGGAGGAGGAGGAGGAGGAGGAGGAGGAGGAGGAGGAGGAGGAGGAGGAGGAGGAGAACGAGGAGACGGAGCAGGAGAAGGAGGAGGAGGAGCAGGAGCAGGAGAAGGAGGCGGAGGAGGAGGAGGAGGAGCAGGAGGAGGAGGAGCAGGAGGAGGAGGAGGAGGAGGAGGAGGAAGAGGGGCAGGAGGAGGGGTGAGAAGGAGCAGGAGGGGGGATGAGGAGAAGGAGGGAGGAGGAGGAGGAGGAGCAGGAGGAGGAGAAGGAGCAGGAGGAGGAGGAGGAGGAGGAGATCCGTAGCATTTGGCTCAAGCCGCTCGCGCGGGGCGCCCCGGGGCTCAAGCCGGCTAGTCGTGTGCGTCCGGAGTTGAAGTTGCTGGAGGTGGTCCGCCGGGAATGGCTGCGGGAGACCTGCGGGGCCGTGGGCCCGAGCATGTGTCTGGTGGTGAGCGCCGAGGCAAGGCCTGGGCTAGGCAGTCGGCCAGCAACCTTGCTCGCCGCCTGCGTCGGGAGCGTGCGCGCTCCGCCGACACCCTGACGGTCAGCTGTGCGGTGGACAAGGCCTTCGAGGACATCGGAGGCGGCTTGGAGGGCGACATCGTGAGCGAGCTGCGGGAGCGGCTGGCTGCTCTGGGGCAGGCCCTCCTGCTTCACTGGCGGCTCGATGCAGAGCTCGGGCACCATCGTCATCGTCTCGGCGACGCACTTCGGGAGCTCGAGACCATCGTGAAGCTCCCCACCGCACTTATCACAGAGGCGAAGGCCGTCAAGGCGGCAGGCGACAAGGCTCGGCACGAGCCGCTGGGCGATGGCGGCGATGGCATTCATGCTCGGAAGGCGTTTCCCGAGAATGTCGACGCGCCTGTCTTCGTCCCACAGGGCGACCTCGGGTTCGTGCAGGAGGCCGATTGGGACATCAGTTGGCGAATGTGCACGTGCGGCGCGACGTTCATCCCCGTATACTGCGACGCTGCGGCGGCGGTGCCCGAGGCAGACGTGGACGGCGGCGCGCAGGAGCCCGAGGAGCAGCAGATCGGCGCCATCGAAGCCGCCGTGGCCGCCATCGGGCCGGGCGACGATGGGCTGGCGACGCCGCTCGAGAGACCCGAGTTCGGGGTCCACCCCCCCGACTCGGAGTACGCTGAGGGTGGGGCTGCTGAAGCGGGTGTCAGCGTCACGGAAGCGGAGGTGGCGATTGTCCAGCAGATGCATGCCCAGACCGTCGGGGCCCTCAACGCCAAGAGGACGAGGAAGTGGAGCAGACTTCATCCCAAGCCGTTCAAGCGGAAGCTGGCCAGGCTGGAGCGTCAAGGAGGGCCCGCGACGGAGGAGACAAACAATGATACGTCCTGCAAGCAGCAGTGACGGTTTGTGTACATCGTGCCAGCCGTGCCGTGTCCGTCATCTCCTCGGCCGTGGTGCTCGTGTCTGGCATGGAGTTGCACTTCGTGGACCCCGTCGTTGCGCCCGTCGTGGTCTTCTTCTGATCCGCTTTCGGTGCGTCTCTTGCATTGCGGGACACGGACTCAGAGGCTCCAGAGGCTCCAGAGGAGGAGTAGGAGGAGGAGGAGGAGGAGGAGGAGGAGGAGGAGGAGGAGGAGGAGGGGGAGCTCTTCCGCAGCTCTTCCCTGGGCGCCATGGCGCCTGGGAGGAGGAGTAGGAGGAGGAGGAGGAGGAGGAGGAGGAGGAGGAGGAGGAGCGAGGAGCGAGGAGGAGGAGGAGGAGGAAGAGCAGAAGGAGGAGGAGGAGGAGAAGGAGGAGGAGGAGGAAGGGGAGGGGGAGGAGAGGGGCCGCGGGTAGCGAGCCGCAGCGCCTTGACGTCATTCGAGGAAGAAAACACGGCATAAACATAAACTGGCACCAGCTTCTCTAGAACTACTGGAGAGCAGCAGCCAAGACGCTGAGCAAGACTGCTGGGCCTAGGCGCTGTCCGTTATCCCCTCCGCTAATCGAAGAAGAGCGGCAGAAATATTAACTTTTGGTGCTCCGCGCGGGTTTCTTGGATCCGCGCTGGAGGCCCCCGTTGCGGCGCCTCCGGCGCCGCCCCTATCTCGCGGAGCGCGCCAGGGAGGGGGGTCCTGCGCAGATTCAAGAAATCCGCGCAGAGCGCCAAAAGTTTTTGGTCATGCCGTTTTTTTGTTTGTTTTTCTAGTCACGAGCGGCGAACGTATCCCCATACCTGACCGTGTCGTAGTACAGAAAACGCGACGGGATGTTTTTGGCCGTTGTCGGCCTTTCGAGGCCCTCACCCTGGCCCCGGGACCGTCAAAACACGACTGCGGATGAACACCGGTCCCGGGGAAATTGACGGGACTTCGAATCACCGCGTATCGGAAACATCAGGGCGTCGCATGTCTGGACCCGTATCCGCGCCCTCGCGGTCTGGGGTGTGTGTCGGGGCGTGATGTCGCCGATGCGCGGCCGCACAGGTGCGTTCCACGGGGGGGGGGAGGGAGGCGCGCCCCGCCTTCTCGCGTGGTCTCGGCCCCAGGGCTTGGCATCGCTCGGACGTGTGTTTTTTTCCTTCGGCGAGGGCCATCGAGGAGCATCCTCGATCAATTGGCGAAAAAACCACGCACGAAACCGAACAAAAACACAGGGAATGGACCTCCGAGCGATGGCAGGAGGGGCCCCGCATCCGCGAGGCCGCGGATGCGGACACGCTGTTCGCCCACGATGGCGGGCGAGGGAGCGCCGACGATCCGGCTTTCTCGACCGGCGGGCGTGCCCAGACTTCGGGCCTTCCCCCCTCCTCCCCCTTCCCTGCTCCTCTCCTCCCTCCTCGTCCCCAGGGAGTGCGTCGAGACTTCCGGGGGGTCCACGTTGAACAGGAATCGTGCCGTCGGGCGTCCTGGGGAGCGAGGGGGCACAACGCGGCGAGAGGAGCCAGGGATGCCTCCTCCTCCTCTTCCGCCTCCTCTTCCGCCTCCTCCTCCTCCTCCTCCTCCTGC